GGCTTCAGCCTCCAGCGAAACAGTGCCAGTATACAAGGAGACACCCGAGAAGTTTACCCTGCAATCAGACTCGCTATCTTTCTCACTCCACATGCATACAAACAGATGATGAGTATTCTGGCGCCAGACGCCCACACAAAGCTAAGAGAAATACAAGTCGAGAACACAGGTTCGGTACAAACTCGCTTCAGGTTATCTATGGCGACCAAGCGCCCAACTCTCTCTTACAGCCAACCCGTACTCCCACTGCTTACACAAGCACGCTCACACCTCACAGGCGATCTCCCTGGATATTCCACGCGCATGCACTCTCTTCACTTTCTATCGCAGCTATGGCTGCCGCCTACGCACCACTACAAGCGGCTATGTCTGCTCTATCTTGCCAACTGCCCACTTCAACTTCGGGCTTCGTGCAGACCACCTAGCACAAGGCGCACTGGCAGCGCTTCCGCAAGGATCACCACAGAATGAATGAATTGCTGGACGCTGCCTTTATACTTCTGTTGGCCGCTGGTCTGCCTCTTTCCACCAGGCCCTTGGTGCACACAGCTCCACACGGTACTTGCTTGACTGGACTGAGTATGGCTGGGACCGGTACCGCTGACTGCACGGGGTTGCACTGCCGACTCGATGCAGTTGGACTTACGACTTGCCTACAGACCTCTAGCCTAGCAGTTTTGACCTCTACACAGCGGTAACCCCTACTTGACAGATATACAGATCGAATCCCTACAGCTACAGGGACCTACAACAAAGAACAGTTGCTACTAAAACACAGGTCGCGGGCTCAAACACACAGGGGTCTACTCGATACTGTACACGGATGCAGATAAGGTCTAGGGATTGAAGCCTGGGATCTGCATCTGCTTCTGCAAAGGTGAAAACCGTTTCACTCCCGCCGGCCTAAATTCGAGGTCCTCCGATAATACTTCAGTGTAAGGCCGGACCTTTATCCTTCTTATCTCTCTCATAGGCTCAGACTAATTGGGAGCTGTCTCTAGAAGTTCTGCTTTGGTGAACCAGCGGTCATCTTCAGGTTCTTGATAAGAGAATCTGACTTTGTACTGCTTCTGTGGATGACCTCTACCTCCTGTTCTGAAGACATCTTCACCTACTATGCCATCAATGGCGTACCTTCCATCCATATCCGGAGGAATCATAGACCTTCGTGATGGAAACTGTTGACTCGTAGTACAAGGCAACAACTTTGATGCATGGAAAACTGGGTAGGTGTGGAGGTGTGCTGGAATCTCTATCGTGTCCAATGGTCCATCCTCTCCGCCCTTGACTTCTAGGACTGGCCAGGGTCCTCTATAAGCAGGTAGCAGTTTCTGCGAGATGTTCTCCTCGCGAGCGAACTCTTTTGACTTGACCCAGACTAAGTCGCCTACTTGGAACTGTGAAGGGCGACGGTGTTTGTTGGCTTGTTCTATCATCCTGTGCTGGGCCTTCCTGAGGTTCTCAACTACTGTAGCACTTTCTTTTTCGTGTTGTATCGCAAATTCCCTTATGTAGACTCTAAATCTGATCCCGGTTAAGTCCTTCAAACGGTCTGCGTGGTTTAAAAGACTTATTTAGCTCGTTGGGAGTGTGACAAGTGGCTAAATGCACGCTATTGTTGTAAGCACTAGCCACCTTTGGGAGCATCTCATCCCAGTTAAGTTGGTCGGGCCTAATGTACATTCTCAGAACTTGCTGCAGGACTTTGCTCATCTGCTCAGTCTCACCGTTGGTCTCTGGATGGCGGCCAGATGCCATTAACAACTTAGATCCGTAGACTTTCATTAATTCCTGCCAGTTCTGACTAGTGAACCGGGTGTCCCTGGCACTAACTATAGACAACGGTAGCCCATGTTCATTGACCCAATGGTCGAAAAACTTCTGTATTACTAATTTTGTGCGTGCCTCAGCGGGCAAAGGGACAAAAAGTGCATACTTGCTAAACCTATCTACTACAACCATGACTTGGCTCTTGCCATGTCTACTCTTGACACCAGTATCCATGAAATCTATAGACACTGAATCTCCAGGTCCTTCGGGGATAGGCAAGGGTTTGAGAAGGCCGAGAGGGGCTTGCGTAGTAGTCTTATTCCTTTGACAGACTTTGCAACTGCGTACGTATTCTATGCAGTCGGCCTTCATACCAGGCCAGGTATACGTGCGCATGAGGTTGGCTAATGTCTTTTACCAACCGAAATGTCCCTCTGTATCATGGCATTCCCCTATGATCAAACTTCGGATCTCTTCATTGGGAACGCATAGGCAGTCAACAACATTAGTCTTCTCAAATAACAAGCCGTCTGTAATGCGGTGATCTGGTTCTGATTCTGGTGCCTCCTTAACTCTCTTCAGGAGGTCGCTATAGAGTGGGTCCTGTGCATACGCTTCTTTGACTCTCTAGGTCTCTCCCTGTATCCAAATAGTGCACTATCGCTCCAAAGTAGTCCGATCTCCTACTTAGGGTGTCCGCAACTACATTGTATTTTCCCTTGACTGGCTTGAGCTCAAATTCATACTGATTTATCTCTTCGGCCCACCTAGTTAGCTTTGGTGTCATCTTGGCCTGCGTTTTCAGCCACCTTAGCGTCTTGTGGTTTGAATACACTTTGAAGTACCTCCCAAGCAAGTAGTGCTTCCAATGTTCTAACGCTTGCCTGAGAGCGTAGGGTTCCCTCTCGTAGGTGGATGTTGCTACCTTTTCTGAAGGCATTCTAGCAGACATGAACTCTATGGGTCTGTATCCATTACCATCGTATTGCTATAGAACAACACCTATGCCATATTGACTTGCATCAATGGTGACGACGAATGGCAATGATGGATCGGCTACCTTAAGGACAAGATACTTTATTAAGGCCCGCTTTAACTTCTTCAGGGCCGACGTACAACCCTTATCCCATTTCCAGATTGCCTCTTTCTTCAACAACCTGCGGAGGGGAGCAGCGATGGTGGAGAAGTTCCTGACTTTCTATTGTAATTGGCCAATCCTAAGAATGACCGGAACTCTGTCAGCGTGCGGGGAGTCAACCAATCTCTAATCGCTGCTATCTTACTGTCTTCAGGCTTTATGCCATCTCCATCTAGAACGTGTCCTAGATATAAAACCTGTGTCTTGGCCCACTCACACTTTTTCGCATTGATCTTGAAGTTAGCTTCTCTCAGCTTCCCCAAGACCTGCCTCAGATGGCCCTCATGCTCTTGGAGGGTCTTATTAAACACTAGAATATCATCTAGATATACAACTACAAATCGATCTAACCACAGCCTGAACAAGTCATTCATACAACGCTGAAACGTACCTGGCGCGTTGGTTAATCCAAAGGGCATCACTATAAACTCATAGTGCCCGTATCTGGTCCTGAACGCCGTCTTGTGCTGATCATCGGGATGGACTTCTATCTGATGATAGCCTGACTTCAAATCTATCTTAGAGAAGTATCTGCAACCCTGCACTCGATCCAACATATCATCTATTCGAGGCAGTGGTTCTGCGTTCTTCACTGTAATGGCGCTGAGACCCCTATAGTCTATACACATTCTTAACTTTCCCTCCTTTTTGGGAACAAACAGAACAGGTGCTCCAAAAGGAGACGAACTGGGCCTAATCCAACCCTTCTCGAGGAGCTCGTCTAACTGCTTCCGCAACTCCTCTAACTCCCTTGGAGACATTCTATACACCGCTCCTTTGGGAGTTCTACTGCCATGCTCTATCTCAATTCGATGATGGATCGACCGCGATACTACCCCTGTAGGTGACTCAGATAAATCTGCATATTCCTCTAGTAGCTTGGCAATGCAAGGGTCTATGGGCTCCTCAGACTTGGCTCAGTGACTGGCCTAAAATAGGCAACGAAAACCTGTTCTTTCAACTGCTGCTTCTTTACTAATCTTGTGAATGCAGGAGCGCTGACAACAATGTGCTAAGGGGCTGTCTACCCCTGACACATGAAACAGGCGAGCAATCTTAACTCCACCTGACGGGCTAGGGAGCCTACACTCGTGCTCTCTTAAGTGGAGTGTGGCCCCAACTGCCTCTCCCCAATCCATTCCTAGGACTATATCAAACAGGAGGTTATCTTCTACGAGGAGAGTCAGGGAATGGAAAACTTTTTCTACCTTCCCATCTTTCTCTAGGCGGAAATAAGCCTGGACTCCCTTGACATAATCCTCGACCTGCATCGTGCGATTGCCTGTGAGGATGCTGACTATAGGTTCCTCTAGCTTTCAGACCTTTAAGTTGAGCTTCAACTTGTGTAGCGCTTTACGACTAGTATAGCTACGGGTAGCCCCACTGTCTATAAGGGCCCCTACTCTGCTTCTAAAAATCTTTACATCTACTAATACTAGTTGTCCTTTCCCATCCTTCATCTTGGCCCAGGCAGGCATCCTCTCCTTCAATTCTTCTGCCACGCCTATGAGGGAAGTGCTTAGAGAGACCCTAATGCAGCAGTCTCTGGACAACTTTCTAGGCACTGGCCAGCAACCTCTACCATAGACACATGTGGGTTGGGAGTTTCTCTATGGTGTGCGCACTCTTCTCCACATGGTCTAGGGGTAAGGGCAGTTGCGACCCCTACCGACGGTTGCCTTTTGCTGCCTGTGCAGCAAATCGGGCCGCCCTATATTTTGGGTAGTATTTGATAATGTGACATGGATTACCGCAGTAAATGCATTGATCCTGGTCTATCCTCTTCTGCCAGACTTTCTGATCGAGATCCAAATCTTCCCAAGGCCTGCCCTGTGGCAAGCCAGGGTGCCATCCACCCCTCCTATAAGGTGACCGATTGGAACGCGAACGGTTTTGCGGGGGACCTTGACCCCTACCTCCCTCTTGGCAGTTTCCCCTACCACCAACCCCCTGATCGTCCTGTCCTCGACCCCCTGAGACCCGGCCCCCTTGGCCCCGGCCTCCTCCTCTTCCTTGCGGCCTCCCTCCAGCCGCGACAGCAGCATAGGACCTCCCCTGACCTACACTCTTGTCTTCCTCCTCGAGGCCCCACTCTATCTCGCTATACGGAACATTTTGCATTCCTCCTTCATCCAATGTCAGGATCAGGCTATCCTTCCCCTTAACATGCCCTGAAATGGTCCAGCCCTTCCACTTTTTACCCTTGTCAAAATCTTTGTGCCAAAAGGCAGTGACCGTCGTGGATTTGGGCCTCGTAGGCTACGACATCACGACTCAACTTATCATACGTCATCCCTTGTTCTCGCGACTTGTCGTAGAAGTGCTTGTGCAAACTTTCGGGCATCGCACAATAGAATAACTGAACCAACTGTGGCTCAGTAAGCCCATGGTTTGGGACCGCGACAAGCTCATCCATGGCTCCCTTAAGTGTCCTTGCGCTCTTCCACTGACGTGTGTGGATTGTCTGGAACTTATCTGAGGCCTTGATTCCCTTAGTTACATCCGCGAAACGTTCGTGAAGGAACTTTAGGAATTCATTGAGGGGAGTGATGGTGGAATATGCCACCATATCATTGTCACATTTGGTGGTGCGGGCTAACGACCTAGCGAAGCTAGACGCTTCGTCTCTAAGGGCATGGAACGCGACGAGGACCTGCTCCTCAGGGATAATATCCTGGAGGTGCATGTAGGAATTGATGTTAGCCTCCCAATTGTCAAAGTCTTCCCCCTGTCTCCTGTTGTAGGCGTCAAGAAACTTTACTTTACCTCGTTCCCTACGCGGGCGTGCCTCCTCCTCCTTTGGGACTGCAATCTTTGTGCCCTCTATAGTGCCAACACAGAACTGTTCTGTGTTCTTCACACGGGCCTGCATCTCAGAGCCCATCCGCATCATCATATCATGGGCAAAGTCTCTAAACCCTACTCGGATGGACTGTAGGGCTATGTCATGGCCCTTTGAAGTATGCATCTGCTCCTGTTGGACGCGAATCAATACATCTATGCCTTTTGCGATCGCATCCACCTTGCTCTGCAAGCCCCCTTGTGTCAGCGCATTAGTATGTTGTTCTGCTGCGGCAGCCAATTCCTTCTCTAACTCGGTGGCCGCCGCTATGCGCCTCCTTCTCTGCCTCCTCAGTCGCAATTTCACTCCATTATTTTCTCCTCTTCCACGGTTTGCTGCTCTAGCGGGCCAGTCAGGGCCTTTATCTCTGCCACACCAACATCCCTCTCGGCCTGGGGAATGTACATCAACGCTTCTTCATCTTCCCCCAGGGATAAGTTAGCCACCCACTCCGACACCATCTTCTCTAGTTTCCTCTCATCTTCACTGACGCCACTTGATTCCCCTCTTTCCTTTCTCCTCACAGTCCTCACCAGGGGTATCTCCTCTTCTTCCTCTTCTTCTTCTACTTCTTTGAGTTTCTCCTCCTCTTCTTTCTTCAACTTTTCCATCTCCTCTTCAAGCTTCTTCTTCTTCGCCGCCTGCGCTTCCAACAGGGTCTGTTTCTTGGCCTCCTTCTCCTTTCTTTCTTTCAATATGGCGGCGACACTCTCTTCCTGCTCTTTCGTATATGGGGTGGTACTCGTATCACTGCGCGTGTCAACCATGGTGATAGGTGTACAACCGGATGACAGTTCCACTCCTCACCACGTAGACTCTCACCCCCTGACTGACTTAACTTATGACTGACTTACTAACTCCTCAGGAATTATTTAACGTCGCAAACAGGACAACGCAATCAACAAGTCCTCTGAAGACGAGGACAGCTGGTTGTGCAGCCCACGACTCGGACTTTGGGCCTACCGTGCCACACTGAGCAGCTCGTCGGTCTGTACCGGTCCTTGGGAGGGTTTGTCCTTCGGGTCAGTCAGTCATCAGACACGGCCTTTAGCCCTACTCAACCCGTGTGGGTTTGGTCAACGCAGCTCTATGACATCATACACAGAGTTCCTATCACCTGGACAGAAGAGACTCAATGCAGAAAGAAGAGACAAACGACTCAGCAAGTACCATGGGGCGTGTGCACATCCATAGGGCGAGGGGGTAGGCTGAAGGCTTGGCGAGAGTATACCAACTCCAGCTTGGTCAAACTTCGTGGTCAACAGCTTCGGTCAACGCCAGCATGCACCCCGGTCAACGATGAAAAACACTTGGTCAACTTCGGTAAAGGCCTGGTCAGTGCTGGTAAACACCTCGGTCAACGTTGGCTATGGCTGCCAACCCTCCTTCGTACTTCCCTTCGCTTTCCTTCTTCTTCCTCCCTCGGCTATGGCTTCTTTCTCATCCCTCCTCTCTATCTTCTTCGCCCCCGGGTATGGTTTCTCTTTCTCCCTTCTTTGTCTCTCCTTCCTCCTCCTCCTCAGCTAAGATTCTCTCCCTTTCTTCGTCCCTTCTCTCTCCTCTTCGACTTTATCTTCTCTCTCTGTGTCTTCTTTCTCGATGCCCGAGCTCGGCGGTTATGACCGCCTCGTCCTTCTATAGGTCACACAACCAATCTTCTATCGCTCGTCTCTCTCTCTCTCTCTCTCTCTCTCTCTCTCTCTCTCTCTCTCTCTCTCTCTCTCTCTCTCTCTCTCTCTCTCTC